CTAGGGCCTGGGTCACTGCTGTACACGTTCAGGTGGCTGCTGGACAGGGGCAGCTGTGGGGTGGGGTGAGGCGGGCCTTGGTGAGCCATGGGGAGCCCCTGGGGCCCAGTATCCCTGGAGCTGCTGCCAGGACACCGGGGCCCCTTCCCCGGAAGTGCAGCCTGTGAGCTGAAGAGCGGCCCTGCCCTCCAGAGCCGGGCCGGGGGAGGGGCTGCAGAGCCAGGAGTTTCCAGGTTTCCTGGAGGGTGTGGAGCCCCACCGAGTCCCGAGCAGGGGGGAGGGAAGGCAGGGGCAGCACGGGCAGGAGCAGCGAAGTGCGGGTGCCAGCAGCTCCAGGCCAAGTTGCCGGGGTGAGGGGTGAGGCAGGGATGAGCTGTAGTTTGTTTTTGTTTTTTTGAGACAGGGTCTTGCTATGCAGTCCAGACTAGCCTTGAACTTGCTGTGATCCTCCTGCCTCAGCCTCCCTGAGATTACAGTGTTGGAAATATGGGCATGCACTATCATGCCTGGTTTATGGGGTTTTTGTTTTGTTTTGTTCTGTGGTACTGAGGATCGAACCCAGGGATTTTACACTCAGCTACATCCTCAGGTCGTTTTAATTTTTTTTTTTTAATTTTGAGATAGGGCCTAGCTAAAATGCTAAGCTGTCCCCGCCTGGACTCGAATTTGTGATCCTCCTGCCTCAGCTTCCCAGAGTGCTGGGATGACGGGTATGCACCACTGTACCAGAGTCTTGCAGAGAGCAGCCAGTAAAGACTTAAGCAGAGACAGATCTGGGGTCTGGAAAAACTTCCCCCTGCTCCAGCCACAGAGACAAACCCCGGGCAGGGACCCCAGACAGTATCCGAAGGCAGAGCTGCTGCGGGGACCTTTTCCTCCCTTTCTCCTCCCTTTGCCCTTGCCAGCCCCAACTCTGGCCCCAGCCGGTCCTGGCCAGCTCTTGCTGAGCCTCTGGTGTAGTCACCAGGGCTGCGGGGCCCAGACACTGCTCCCTGAACTCCTCACTGCCCAGCTAAGGCCCAGCTGAAGGGGCTGGACCTCTGCCTGGGTGAAGCTTGCCTTTGTTTCTCCCTCATCTGCTTACCCCGCGACGGTGAGGGTGACAGTGGCCTCCATCTCAGCTGAGGACTGGAGCCCCTTGATCCCAAGCCCGGCTCCTCCCCAGGAGCCCCAGAGCGGTCACACAGCCCAGATGCTGTAGAGGGTGCCCCGGGCTGGGGACCAGGCCCCGGTCTCTGGACCCTGAACAGTGGGGTTGCAGAGCCCCGGAGCAGCGCCAGGCCTCCCTGTGGACAAACTGCACCCCGGAAGGCTCTGCTGCCCCCCCATCCCCCAGCAGGCCCAGTGAGCTCGGTCACTCAGCCCCCGCCGGCCCCGCCAGCTCACCCCCTGGCCCAGCCTACCGTGTTGGGCATCTGCAGCTCAGGGTTCATGTAGCCCAGCACGTTGTCCAGACGCATGATGTTGTCAATGACATCGTCAAACTGGAAAAGAGGAAAGGCTGTAGGGGGGGCCGGGTGCGGGGCCAGGGCTGACCTGGAGCCACTTTGCCCAACCCTCTCTCCCAGAGGAGACCCCGAGGGCCACAGCGACCCAGGGCCTGGCCCTTCCTAGGCACGGGGTCTCCAGTCCGGCTCGCAGGGACTTCGGAAGGCGCCGGGCTCGGGGCTCCCCGCTCCTGGGCCC